TGGGTTAAAATTTTGAACAGTATGGTCATTTTAAGGCTAATAATGTACACATTTACTTTCCATAGATATGAAAGAATAATTGTTGAATTAGGCTTGTTGTGTCTAGAATGATTTAAGAGCTAAATGGCCACCAGTCTGCTTCTGTAAAGCAGGGAAGGTCTGAGATGATGATTTTTTTTTTTGACCCAACAGAGCATGCTTGGATACCATTACTTATTTGGGTCACTGGTTGGCCTTCCTGCAAGACCAAACAAGTAATCTGGGGGTTGTGTTTGACCCAGAACGGATATTTGGCAAATAGATCGGTGAAGTACTTTTTTTTCAGAATTTTGTCTCAGTAGGACTAATGTATTGCTGTCGATGCTCTCAGGACATTACTTCATTGTTGCAGCTAGTTAAACTGTTGATAAGTGCAAACACGTGATCATTTCTCTCCTATTTCCTCCTATAGCTCCTTTGGCTGCCAGTTGACTTTAGCATAAAATATACATTCTGCTATATGTTTTTAAGCAGATCAAGGTGTTGCTCCTGCATTTCTACCTGCTTAAGCGCTAAAGAAAGCAATGCCATACATTCCTGGAGCACCTTGCACCTCAGTTTGGACTGAGGTTCTGCCCCACTCCATTGTTTATTGTGTTCTGTTGTAAAATGATGAACATATCCCTAGTCTAGCTCAAAGGGGGCCATTGTAAGATGAGCATCACTAACTCTGAACCTGTCAACACTTGCCCATATTGTGCAGCTACACTATAATAAAATGTCCTTTGTACAGTAACAAGTCTGTAATCTTCATATATTAGAGGCAGGTTTACCTGCACGCTCCTGAACACACACAGAGCGCTAATAGCAACATGACCATGTCTTTAATTTCACATTCTTGCTGTGTGTTTTAGTATAGCTAAAAAAAAGTTAAAATGTTCAGTATTGAACTGAAGCTGGATTTTTTTTAATTTCTGGCATTGTTTATTTAGAGGAAAGAACGTCAATTCCAATAAAACATTATGGATGACAGAATACAAAAACAATGGAGAAATATAAAAATTTTCATATAAAGTTGTTGTTTATACATATAGAAATTTCATAGTTCATGTTTGAGTGTGAGTTATTCTTGATGATCCTTGGAACTGGGCAGGGCTAAAGATGATTTTTTGGCTTGTGTTTCTCAGAATGACGCTCTGATTGGTGAAATATTTAGTAGTTTCTGTAGTCTGCTCAATTTCCTCTATAAAATGCGATAGTTTGCCATATCTCAGAAACCTGACTCTTTCACCCTATAATCACTGGCTCAATGTACGTTGTGCAACTTATTACATAAATAAATAAGCAAGAAAGGTTTATATAATTTTAATAAATCTCTGTGACAAAATTATCTGCATATGTTTGTTACATTTGTGTCATTCCAATAAACCACACAAGTTTCCTTCTCTTTAACTTGTCTCCAGTGGATGTTAGAGTTTAATGGTCATAATACAAAAATATCTGGCCACACAATGCTGCAATTGATCAAAAAGTCATGTTCTTATAGAGCACATCTTATTTGTGTGTAATTCAGTCAATGCATTTTGTGCTGACAAAATTGGCCTTACTACTGTGTAAAGGCCACCATAAGGCTATTCAATTTGTTTTTATTCCTGATGTGTGTACATTATAGGTTTGGATTAGCTGATTTTTTAAACATACATTAACTTTATAGTAGTTTTATAATGTTAGCCAGGCACTAGATCTGTTTATTTTAGGTATGTTTACAAATACGGTATGCTTAGCTAGTGTGAACGTGTCTTCTGAACTCTGTGCACACCCGTAAACTACCCGAGTTCACCTGAAAGAAGTGGTCTGGGGTTGGTTTGTACGAACTCTGGTATAGTTCACTTCTCATGAAATATTACCAAATAACAAAAGTGAACCGCCAACTGTACAACAAACTTTAGTTTTTATAATCCTTATTCGTGTGTGTGTGTGTGTTTGTGTTTGTGTTGGTTTGTGTGTGTGTGTGTGTGTGTGTGTGTTAGGGCTGTGCAATTAATCGAAAATTCGATTTCGATTTTGGCTTCAAACGATTATGAAAAAGCATTAATCGAGATAAACGATTATTGCATCATATACCGCCCCCTTTCCAGCTGTTGCTCCTAAAAGCGCGAAAGACCGCGTGCCGCACACACAGCCAGAAGCATGCGGCCGGTCAGCATTTGGTCTCATTCGCACACTGAAGATGGAATTATACTTGAGCCTGGCGCCGCATCGCACACCTCCGCTGACCCCGCGCGCACCTCGCGAAACGGACGAGGCGCAGACATCTAAAGTCATCTTAATGTGAGGGTTTTAATGGTCAAAAGGATGTCAAAACGCAGTGTTTAGTGATTATTCATAATAACCCTCATTTGTGTAATAAACAAGTTATGACTTGAGGATCAAAAGACATGTAAAAGAGAAACAAATAAAGAGACAGCGAGCGATGTTTCTTTTATCATTAATCAAACAAAACGAGAAAATCCTCTGCTCTTGACTAAAGGATTTTTGTAGCTAAAGTTTTATTCTTACAGTGAAAATCCTTAAAGTACAGTTTGTTTCATATTTTTATTCTATTGTATTTTTTTTTCCCTTTGCAGGGAGGAAAATAACTGTATGTATACATTAAAGTCAGAATTATTAGCCCTCTGAATATTAGCAATCATTTTCTTGCCCAATTTCTGTTTTTTTTTTACTTATTTCTGAACATAATAGTTTCTATATATCATTTCTGATTACTGATTTCTTTTATCTTTGCAATGATGACTGTACGTAAATTTTTTCTTGATTTTTTTCTAAACACAAGCATTCAGATTAAAGTGCAATTCAAAGGCTTAATAAGGGTAATTAAGCAGTTCATTGTATAACAGTAGTTTCTTCTGCAGACAATCAAAAAATATATTGCTCAAGGGGGCTAATAATATTGACCTTAAAATGTGTTTCAAAATATTTAAACCTGCTTTTATTCTAGATAAAATAAAACAAATAAGCCTAGAAGAAAAATATTATAGGAAATTCTGTTAAAATTCCTTGCTCTGTTAAACATAATTTGGGAAATATTTATTTAAAAAAAAAAACATATTCCCAGGAGCGCTAATAATTTTGACTTCAACAGTAATCGTTTTAAATAATCGTGATTACAATTATGACCAAAATAATCATGATTATGATTTTCCCAAAATCGAGCAGCCCTAGTGTGTGTGTGTGTGTGTGTGTGTGTGTGTTACCTACCTTGGTGATAAGCAGGACTCACCCAGTGTAAACTGTGATAATGTCTGCTTGTCTTGTTTTGGTAACAAAACCAAAAGATTCAGTAAAAGCAGAATTACTCAGAATTACTGATATGCGGACGTCTTCATTTTGCCGCTTTGCTTTTGTGGCTGTCACCTCGCAACAGCTGTACACAAAACAGCAGCTTGATGACAAGCGTACCGGGGTTCAGAGGGAAAAAAGATGGTGTGGACACATACCAGCCAAGAGGGTGCCAAGGGGGTACAATCGAACTTGGGTTACAGGCAATTGAACAAAGTGTGAAAGTACCCTAAATGATTACATTGAGTTATACTACTATTGGTCATTTAAAATGTTTAAGATATAACATTCTTAGTATGTATGGATTTACTGGATTTATTAGGTGTAAACTATAATATTTTCTTATAACATTTCTTCAAAATCTCAAAATAAAAACAGATTTTGTGCTTTTTATTAGAAAATGAAAATTTATCACAATAACATAAGTAATATTTCACCAAATATGGAATACTCTTCTGAAGTGAAAACATTCGTATTTTGTTGTCTAAAAAATTATATATTTGGATCTATCTTAACCTTAAAGCTAAAAAAATTATTCTAACATTTTTATTGTGAATTTACAAGAATTTAATTTTACTTAATATTTACAAAAAATTCTAAGAATTTTTAATAGAATTATTGATATCCAAGCAACTTTCGACAACATTGTGGAGCTGATTGGTTGCCATCGCCTCAATAGCCAATGAGCTTTGCTTTAGCAGAATGTGCATGGTGTTTTAGGACTCTCCACTCCACCCCAGCTCCACCTGCTTATAGATCTGCTACAGGGGATACATTTATGTCATGTTTGCCACAGCAGTGTGTTCTATTCTTAGGCATGTCTATAAATATACTGGCCATAGCAAGCCTGTCTACAAGCAGCAGCTTGCAGACCTATGCCACTAATACAAAAACATCAACACTAACTACCGGTCAAAAGTTTGGGGTCCGATTTATTTTTTTTCATGTTGTTTTTATAGGAAAAATTATTCTGTTCATCAAGGTGGCATTTATTAAATGTATAAAAAAATGTAAGATTGTTAAATATTTATTACAAATTTCAATAACTACTTTCTAATTGTATGTTTTTTTCGAATTAAATTATTTCTCCAGTCATTATTGCTTTTAATACTAAAACCATTAATAATATTAATACTACTACTACTACTACTAATAATAATAATAATATTACTAATAATTAATATTAGAATGATTTCTAAAAGATCATGTGACTGTGAAGACTGCAGTAATGAAGCTGAAAATTCATCTTTAAAAACACTGGAATAAATTAAATTAAAAGATAAATTACTTTTGAACAGTTGTTGCAATAACATTTCACAATTGTACAATTTGCATTGTATTTTTGTTAAAATAAATGCAGCCTTGGTGAACAGGAGAAGCTTATTTTAAAACATTTAAAAATACTACTGAGCCCAAACTTTTGACCGCTAGTGTATATATATATGTGTGTATATATATATATATATATATATATATATATATATATATATATATATATATATATGTATGTGTGTATATATATATATATATATTCATTACATTACTAAATCTCTCCAAGGGTTGTCATGGCAGTAATATAAACATATCAAATGATAGAAAATTGAAATGACAGATCAATAAACTATGATACTAGCAGAATGTGAAATGTGTGTTGATTGTCTCTCATGTCTTTGTGTCTACAGGCGCAGAGATTCCCTCCGATCCGAGCGTTGTGTCCTCCTCCAGTTGGAACATGTCCAGGGCAGCTGAAAGAGGTGAGTTTTAAAGCCCAGTTCCACTAGGCCTCTCTGGGACACCATTAGGTCTGCAGTTATGTGACAGATCGGCAGCAATCACTGGATGTTTTGTCTGGAGATGAATGTTGGTTTTGATTGCCAAAGCAGACAGCATTACTAGCAGGAACATGTGAGCTTCTAGGATGGCAGCATTTTGAATGAGGCTTGTTATGTGTGTTAAGTCATCCTAATTCCTCAGGCTGGGACAGTGCACACTTATTTGGGGGTTTACGTGCTCATGGTAAACCTAGATTTGTTGTGTCTGTGCTGTCATTTGATATGCAAGTTGAAACAAAAGTCAGAAGTCGTCAAGCATTTTCCAAATAATCACTAAATTTCATTTTGCCATAATATCTCTTTTTGCTCTTTTTCTCTCTCTTGCTCTCTCTCTGGCATAAATACACATGTAGAAACACCACATTAGAGACACATCCACTTCATTCTTTCCATTCCAAGCCCGGTTTCAATAGTTCTTTTTTATTTGTTACATCTTTTAAGTGTTTTTTGTTTCTGTTTTTAACTAAATTCAGAAGCAATTAGGCTAATTCGAGGCGTGGAGTAATTATGTTCGCTATGTGATTTCTCCAAATTGTCCTAATTGCTTTGGGATTAATATTTAAATCTCAATCAGATTTGCTGCCTGGCGTTTGAATACAGCTGTCAACACAAGAGCTTTTCCTTTTGACCGGCAGCTGACTTATGCTTTAGGTCAGAAAACAGAGAGGGCTTTACAGAAACAAAAACATCTTACAGAGTATGAGCAAATATGAATGTGCGAATATTAACTCAACTTGAAAGCAACTTGGTATAATGATATGGATATCAGAGTTTGTTTTGAATGTATACAATTAGTACAGTATAACTATTTGAATGTGTAATGTAATAATAAAAAAATCTAAATTAATGTATTTGATAATTTACTTATAACCCAACATTTAGTATATGGAAAGTAATATAATGTATTGGTTTTTAAATATATGAAAGTAACAGTAACATTAAAAGGGTTAAATTGTGAACAGGAATATAGTTTAGGTAGTTATCATCAGGGATGAAATTGCTAAAGAAGTCTATGTCAGAAACAGTTGATAAAAATATGAATATAAAAAATTTTGTGTTTTTAACAGACATTTTTTTCCCTCAAACACCTAAATTGTGTAAGTAGATACAGTTGTGTTAATTGAATTCTAAATAATTACAACTTTCCATTCATATTACTGTTTTTTAATAATTTATTTGCTGTGAATTTTAAGGCAACATTAGAGAAATACTAATGTATATTGCTATTAATATCTTATGGTTTTATATGTAATCGAACACATCCAAATGTTTGATGTATGAAACATAAGACTTTACATGGATATATCACAATTTAGATATCATGGAGATTTTTATGATATGCATTTTTATCAAATGTGAAAATATCAAAGTGACAGCAGGACATTATAAACAAATACTTCATAAAGCATATCAACATATAGCAACACTTCACACACTACACTCATCATGTCAACAGGTAGTTTTCTGTGCTATCTATGAACAACTTTGCAATGGCTTCTTCAAAAGAGATATAGCAGTAATCATTTCACAAACTTGCACATCCCCTTTCTTATAAATATCGGCAAAGTAAACAAAAAGCCTACTGTCCACATACATCTACACTGCCAACAAAAGATGCCATTGTCTTGATACCACTAACTTGAAATGGTCAGATAACTTCTTCAAATCATCTGCTATAAATAATAAATAAGTTTGATAAATAAACAGCTGTATTATATGTGTTTGTGGGTCAGTGTGCGGTTGCTTCCTTCTAGCTCAATTTCTAAAGCACTCACTGCATCCGTACATCATTACAAGGAAGTAGAAGTGTCCAAAAGATTAAGCTTGTCAGTCAGAGGCATGATGGGGTGGAATTGATCCCTCTGTGGTGGTATGCTTTGTCCATTTTGGGAGATTGGATATTTGTATATTGTTTTAAGAGAGCTGATGTTTGGACGGAGGAAATGAAGATGGAGGGATAAAGAAGAGATCTGCCAAGGGAAGGAAGGTGTCTTTTCCTCCAGCCACCCTTTAGGCCAGACATGTCTGTAATAAAGACCAAGAGGATAGAAAGAAAGAGAAATTAAATATAGGGACGTGTGAATAGACAAGAGGAATGATGAAGGGAAGAGAATAGTGAGTGGAATAATGTTTAAATGGTGTGTACTGTATACCCAAACCTCGGGTGTCTCATTGTGGTTTCATGTTGACCATACAAATCTATTTTGTAGTTGGAATTTGTTATGACATGCTTCTGTAGTGCTATAATGCTGGTGGTTTTCAAACTTTTTGATACCCAAAAAAAGATGATTTTCAATACCAAAATTAACATAATTCTATTTTTATATTAATATTATAAAACAATTTATTTTGGGTAAAGAGAACAGTTTTTTTGACCAGTTCTTAACTCAAGGCAAACAGTACCGTTAATGTTACTCAAACATCTATCTATCTATCTATCTATCTATCTATCTATCTATCTATCTATCTATCTATCTATCTATCTATCTATCTATCTATCTATCTATCTGTCTGTCTGTCTGTCTGTCTGTCTGTCTGTCTGTCTGTCTGTCTGTCTGTCTGTCTGTCTGTCTGTCTGTCTGTCTGTCTGTCTGTCTGTCTGTCTGTCTGTCTGTCTGTCTGTCTGTCTGTCTGTCTGTCTGTCTGTCTGTCCGTTCGTCCATGCATTTATCCATTATTTATCTATCCGTCTATCTGTCTGTCCACCTGTCTGTCCGCCAGTCTGTTTGTCCATCCATCCATCCATCCATCCATTAGTCTGTCTATATGTCTGTCTATCTGTTTGTCTGTCCGTTCGTTCGTCGTTCCGTCCGTCCGTCCATGCATACATCCATTATTTATCTATCCGTCTATCTGTCTGTCCACCTGTCTGTTTGTCCATCCATCCATCCATCCATTAGTCTGTCTGTCTGTCTGTCTGTCTGTCTATCTGTCTGTCCGTTCGTCCATGCATTTATCCATTATTTATCTATCTGTCTATCTGTCTGTCCACCTGTCTGTCCGCCAGTCTGTTTGTCCATCCATCCATCCATCCATCCATTAGTCTGTCTATATGTCTGTCTATCTGTCTGTCTGTCCGTTCGTTCGTCGTTCCGTCCGTCCGTCCATGCATACATCCATTATTTATCTATCCGTCTATCTGTCTGTCCACCTGTCTGTTTGTCCATCCATCCATCCATCCATTAGTCTGTCTATATGTCTGTCTGTCTGTCTGTCTGTCTGTCCGTTCGTCCGTCCATGCATTCATCCATTATTTATCTATCCGTCTATCTGTCTGTCCACCTGTCTGTCCGCCTGTCTGTTTGTCCAACCATCCATCCATCCATCCATTAGTCTGTCTATATGTCTGTCTATCTGTCTGTCTGTCTGTCTGTCCGTACGTCCGTCCATGCATACATCCATTATTTATTGCATGCATGCATCATCTGCCTGTCTATCTATCTATCTATCTATCTATCTATCTATCTATCTATCTATCTATCTATCTATCTATCTATCTATCTATCTATCTATCTATCTATCTATCTATCTATCTATCTATCTATCTATCTATCTGTCTGTCTGTCTGTCTGTCTGTCTGTCTGTCTGTCTGTCTGTCTGTCTGTCTGTCTGTCTGTCTGTCTGTCTGTCTGTCTGTCTGTCTGTCTGTCTGCCCGTCTGTCTGTCTGTCCGTCCATCCATCTGTCCGTCCATCCATATCCATCCATCCATCCATCCGTCCATTCATCTATTTTGGCCTATCAGCTTTCTATCCTTCGGCCTATATACAGTATAATTTATATCTTTAATACTATAATTTTCCTTGATTTCCAGCCTAAAAAAAAACATTGGACTACTCTATTTTATGTTAAGCATAGATTAAAGCACATTTTTGACATGAAATATCAGCAGACAACATCAATATCTTTTACCTCAGTTTGCTTCCTGTAAAAGCCAGCTTTCCCCAGCTCCATTCCTCATATCCCTGTCAATGCTGTGGTCAACAGAATCGTGCTCAAATCTAGCAGCAGATTCTTGGTAACTCTAGATGCAGTTTGCTGAACGCTGCTGTCAGGTGTAGCTCAGACGGTGCTGAGGTTTTTCTGAAAGGTGAACAGTAGTCAGAGGAATTCAGCCCCTCCACCAAACCAGCAGGACTAATATCATGGATGTACTCTACCTGCACAGCTGTGAACCCTGCGGCTGCTTACCCTGCCTGTAACCCTGGGGGGCCGCACTCAATATACTTTTATTAATTTCCTCGTCAAAGTCACATTCCTTGCATTGCGACAGAGTCTGACCTCCTGTGAGAAGTTGCTGTTGATTTTCAAGACAGAGAGAAGGGGAATTAGTGTTGCAACCACAATAAATTAACGCTTTAAATGATGTGAACGTTAAGGGGCATGACAATAAGCATATGTAATAGCAATGTTGCTATTTTATTTCTCGTATTATATCTCATAGATTCACAGTTTTCAGTACTTGATATTTTCCAATGTAATTCAATCCAATTCAAGTTTATTTTATTGTGCTTTTTACATTAATTATTGTTTCAAAGCAGCTTTACAAAAATTACTGCATTACAATCAAAATCAGAAAAGGTAGGGTTTTTAGCAGCTATAACTTCCTTACTTACTAATAACCTTAACTAATTAACTAATAACTAAAAGCTTTTAATAGTTTGTTAATTTGTATAAGCATAGTCATTTGAACAGTGTGTGGCAGAATAAGGCTATTTAGGTGTAACTAGCTGGAAATGTTTGGTTAAATTTGATTGTTGTGATGTGTATTCACATTCAGACTTTTGTTGACTATGTAACCAGGCTAGTAAAACTTAAGACCAGCTTAAGGTTACACATATTCAGCAGAACATTTATTTCAGAAATTAAGTGTTGGGAGATATTTCGATATTCTGTTAACACTCTTATGACTCATAGTTGACGTAGATGCAGTTGTTTATTGCCAACAAAAATATCTACATGCAAAATAAAAGTGTTTTTCCAAATATTTTTCAATATATTCCAGTGAATTTCTTCATATGCATTCTTGAAAAGTCTAGAATAATAAGTTTTTGAAATATTGGTCAATATTTGACCCAAAAAATGACAAAATATTAAAGAATTTTTTTAAATATCATCAAATAAATTAATGCCAAATGGGTGACACTTTGCAGTAATCATCCATTAGATAGTTAACGTACAGTATGTACTAACATGAACAAACAATGAACAATACATTTATTACACTATTTATACATCTTTGTTAATATTGCAGAAAATTAAGGTGCTTTTTGTTAGTTCATGTGAACTCACAGTTCATTAACTAATGTTTATAAGCACAACTTTGTATTAACGCAGTAGTGAATGTTGAACTATAGTTAATAAATGCTGTACAAAATTGTTCATGTCTAAATACATTAACTAAAAGACAGTTTTTAAATGAATCAGAAACAGCACTAGTATAAAAATAAAGGATTTATCTATGTCCAATAGTTTTTGGAGTTCATGACAGTCTGGAATGTGCCTTTTAAGATATCATACCTTTTAAGATGTATTATAAATATTTATATATTATAAATTTTCATTATGGACAAAAATGCCTCTGGAAACCTAATTTTGTACTGTATTATTAATTAGTTTATTTAGTAATAGTTGTGTTCACTGCACAAAAGCCTAGTGTATTGTACCGTTCAATAGTTTGTAAGTATTGACAGATTGTTGGACTGTAGATATGATATGCTCATAGTAAATCCGCGCTGAGTGAGAGGAAAAGTTTACTTTCACTCTTCGCTTCTTGGCTGCGCCAGCAGGGCTTGTCAGGGTGCCATCAGGAGCCTGTCAGAGCATGTCTGCCAAACCGATCATATGACTCCACAGGAAGTCCCCGGGAAATATTCAGGGGTTAAGATTATTTGTATGGAACAACTTTGACTGTCTCTTTTGGCCAAGATGATCTCATTGTATGCATAGGCATTTGAACACTAAGAGTTTTTATTTTGTATAATTGGACAGACACCGAAACACACAATTTCAATGTTTTGACAGCACCTAAAACATAAACTATTACTTCAGAGTATCTTAGTCAGTCCAGATGTATTTAAACAGGATTGTGCTTAAGCCACACATTACCGATACCAATAAGATCACGTTATTTTCATAGGCACACACACACATATCATTGTATATCTAGTATAACCCCAATTCTGGTTGGGTCTTTCACCACAAAGTGTTTCAACATATCGTCTGTGTAAGTTTCCCATAGATTTGAAATATTAGTACACAAGTCCTCTCAATGGCTTTGCTCCGACCAGAATGGGTCAAATCTGCTGAGCTCACTCTAAGCGCTTTTATTTCCCTTCCACCGCTCGTGAAATATTGGGGGGTTGTCATATTTTTGCTGGCCTCTTATCAAAGTTAGCTGTAGGCCTGGCAAGACAGATTTTCAGGAGACAGAAGTTTCCAGAAGCTTCAAGAGTTTCTGCCGTCCCCTCTGGCGCTATCCACCCCAATGAGACAAACTAATGATTTACCACCTAGTGGCAACCGCTAAATATCATGTAAAAGATTCCTAACCGGCAGCTTAAAGGCTTGTTGCAGACTGTAAGCTCGTATGTAGTTACAAATGCACATGAACATTAGGAAAAGTCTCTTTCTGAAAAAAAAAAATAATTTTGACTTATTATGTGTCAAATAATACCTGTTTAAGGGATTAGTTCTGTCCTTATTGCACAACCTCGTCTTGTTCCAAAACCATATGATTTTTTTTGATTAAGTTAACCATATTGTATGGTTTTTAACTTTTCTGGCTTGTCTTTTCAGATCACTTCCTAAGGCTGGACGCTCCTATGAATAACATTACTACTTCCCTCGGACAGACAGCTGAGTTGCATTGCCACGTTTCGGGGACTCCATCACCCTCAGTCCGCTGGCTTAAAAACGATGCCCCTGTGGTTCAGGAGCCACGGCGGGTCTCGTACAGACCGACTCCGTACGGCTCGCGCTTGAGAATCAAAAATCTGGACACCACAGACACCGGCTACTTTCAGTGTGTGGCGACCAACAGCTATGGCACAGTGTCAACCACAGGAATCCTGTTTGTCAAGTTTGGTGAGTGATTTTTAGAACTTTAGAATGAGAAAAAAGCTTAATTAAACACATTAAACACAAGTGTCATCTTTGATAGCACAAGATGTACACTAGGATTAGGAACTTTATGATGTTTTCGGTTTAGTTTCAGTCAATGTTGTCTGCTAAATGGTGTTACAATTATTTTTGTATTATAAATACCAAGTTTCAAATGTGCTAGAATGTGTCAGCTTTTTTCTGCAAATATGAGCCAATAAAGGCTCACAAAAAAATCCATTATTGTCTTTCTACTGCATGCACATAACATCATACCTGCCAACACTCCCATTTTTCCCAGGAGTCTCCTGTATTTCAGACCCATCTCCCGCTACCCTCCCATTTTATTATTTCTCCCTGTAAACTACCGTAATTTCACCCGCCCCCAGTCCTCGTCATTTTGGTACAGTCTGTAACAACCCCGGGTTACCAACTTTGGTATCTTATCCGATCGCAGCGACCCCTCCCACCACAACATCCCAACCCCACTTCAATGGTCTCCTGAAATTTCAAGGCAAATGTTGGCAGGTATACATAACATAAACAACCCAAAATCATGTGCAATTTGGTGAGTTGTGTACAAGTCTTTTAAAATTTTAATTGTATAATAAAGTAAAGATGTACAAAGAATGTCCACCCCTAAAACCACCAATTTGCCAACAGATCAAAGTTACAAATTGTCATGAGATTGTTAAAAATAAATAAATAAATAATTTATGTATATGTATTAACAACAAAATTACTAGAAATTGTACTTATTTTTCAAATATTTGATTTTCAAATTTAACAGATTCATAATATTTCCTGTTATATTTTTCTTCTGGAGAAAGTCTTATTTCTTCTAGTTTGACCTGAATAAATTGTTATATGTAAAATTATACTGATTATTTTCAAATTTATGTTATTCATAATCTTTAGCAGTCATTAAAATTTGTTTCTTATTTAACTTATTTTGAATATTGAATTGACTGATTCATTAAAACATTAAAATAGTTTCCCTGATAGATAGGGAAGACAAAAACCATTGATATTATGGCCCGTCTAAGGAGAAATATCTAGTGAGTAGAAGAATTCAACAAATGTTTTTAAAATTGGTGCACACCTCATTTAAATTAGGGCGTGAATGAAGACCCTGGTGTATTGTGCTCTAAATGTTCTTTTTCAAACATATCCTCGTAAGTTTATAACTTTATCATTCTTTACAGTGAAAATCCTGAGAAACTGTGTACTGTAGATCAGATGAGATCACTGTAGTTATTCTGTACTCTGTGATGCCAAGGTGTCGTATTGGCTACATGTGTTGTGCTTCTTTGTGGGCGATTTGTTCCATGCATGTTGTAAAAATTCCCTCTTTCTCTTTCTTTCCAGATCCGGCTCCCACACCTCTGCCTGGACGACCTTCACCGTGAGTCCACTTTTCTTTCCTTGATGCTGTATACTCCTCTAAAATCTGTCATAAAATGAACAAGAGCAAAGAGAGAGAGAGAGAAACAGTGCTTAGGCAAATAATAATTTAATTGCTCCTTCAAGAGCTGTCTGTATTTTGCATTTCTATTTTATGTGTGAGCGAGTGGAGGATTTAAAACCTGCGCAGAATGGAATGCATGGAGTTGTCTGTAAGATTTTATTATATTATTTTATTTATTATTTTTTTACTAACTTTATAAGTTAGACTGGTAATTCACTTACTGTGATTTAAAAGTAACATTTTTGGTTCACATTTTTGTCTCACAGGTCTGATCATGCTATTTTCCAATTAGAATATTTTGATCAGGGTGTAAATAACTAGATTTGTCAGCGTAGTTTTTTTTTTTGTGCATTTAAATCTGCACAACCAGTTAAAGCTTTGGAATAAATTAGATTATTCTTACAAGACATTGATTCTATCAAAGTTATATTCACAAAATGTAAAAAATACATTTAGAATGTTGCAAAAAACACTTTTGAAGTCATGAAAGTAAAAATCATGAAAGCTTGTGAAAAAATTTTTTTTAACCATGGGCTTAACAACAGAGGTCAGATCCAAATGCAGCTTTTATTAAAGAAGTCAGACACGCAAAGTTCAATATGGGAGCAGACAGTAGCATGAAGATAATCCAGAGAGTAATCAATGCAACAGGTGAAAAGTGTAGAGACATGTGACAAAACAGTCAAAAACAGTAAACAAACAAAGGGTGAAAACATGGAAGGCAAGACAATGAAAACGCTTAGAAATGCACTACAGGGAAACAAGACTCAGCAATGGATGTGTGTTTGTGAATGGTGTGCAAAGTATTCACCTTATTCTCCGCCGAAGAGTGGGTGCTACCATTTGAATCTTTTTGGCTTGAGACTTCCGGTCTCATTCACTTCCATTCATTTTTTGACGTTAAAAACTGCTCATTACACTGCTTGATGTTGCAATTTGATATTTTCTTATTATATTATTCTACTTGGTCTCTATAGTCATGCAAACATTTGTTTGTAGAGCAAGTAATTTGACCGTTTTCTGCCATTTATTATTCCTAGTCATTTCTCCCATAGGCAACTGAATCAGAAGTTCTAAGACAATCGCGAAAACAGGCGCACTTCCGCATGTTAGAATAAGGTCAATGCAGTCCATGTAATCAGTGGTGATGAAATGCAGCTGTGTGTGTGTAATCAGCAGGTGAACCGAAACTGGTGTGTGACTCCAGGACATGATGGGATTTGTAGTTTGGGTGAATAACAGGGAGTGTTCTCCAGCAGCCTTCAGGGGCAACAGTAGAATTAGAATAGAATAGAATAGAATAATAGAACCTAATACATACTTCAATAAGAGTACTTATTGTAACATTTAATACAGTAATAAATAGCTTTTTCCGTGCCTTTTGTTTTACTGTTTACTTTTTTCTAGTATATGTTTTGCATTAGAATTAAGATACAATGACACCGTGCACCAACTACATACAATGTGATGCCGTGACATGCGATAAAAGATATATTTTCTATGTTAAACTTTGCTAAATTTCTAGTTCTGCGACATTATGGCTGAACAACAACATAAATTACCATAATATTATTCAAAATGTGTTTGAATATCATTTTATGTTACATTTATTGCCATACTGAAAATGGCAGCAAATCGACTTCAGATATTACAAATAAATAAAATAATCGTCAACCATACAGTTTAAGCATGAATGTTACATGAATTTAATATATATTAGTCACTTTCATGTACTTTTAATTAATTATTTTTTTAATTACCTTGTGATTTATTAGTCATGTTAGAGGTTTCATATTTATTGATTAGATTTTAAACCTGTCCATTTCATTGGGAACAAAGTCTACTATTCTGTGCTTCTGAATAGTTTATATTTTCTATGTTTTTTTGTTGTGTTTTGTCATGTTTTGTGGACAGTCTAATTGCTCTTCACTGGCATCTTGTTGCTTCACATGTTGTTAGGTCATGTAAAATTTAAGATTCAGTAAAATCCACATTGTAATTCTAATAGTTGATTGCAGATGTGTATCAGGAACTACTCTGAGATGACTGTTCAGTTCATTTCTGATTTATAGTTTTACAGTGAGCAGTCCGGAGACTTCAGCAGGTCAGTTCTAGGTTAGCGAAGACAAATGAAGATATTGTGCATGTTGCTTGCATGTGTCTTGTTTAAGAGTGCGGGAATGGTAGAAAATGCATGTCTGATATCATTAAAGTCAGCCACCACCTGTTTGTGCTATAATGTACAAGCAGACTCACCACATGTTTCTGTTTCAACCCACTCAGATTACAGACATTACTGTAATACACTGACTTTGTGTCTCTCTTTTAATCTTGCCATATTTCCACGCTGCGGGCTTCAACACCTACTGCAGTCACTTAGCATGGAAACTGAGATTTATGATAGCATATGGTTTTTTAGATCTGCACAATACTTGCAAGTCAGTGCTATGGAAATTTAGTGTTGTTTTTGTCTTTACTGTCTTATCATATAATGCGTAACAAGATAAATAAAAGAGGTTTCATGTTTTTTATTTAAAATGCTGAAGCAAATTAAAGATTGAAATTGTTTTCTCCTTCAAACTTTTGTTTAGTATTAATGACTTCAAATATTACAAATCTGACTGGATTTTACATAATTAGGACTTGATATCTCTTGATATTAGACTTGATGGGAATTAATTATTATAATTAACTGATCTATGATTAATTAATTAATTAATGATTATATCTCAAAAGTTCATCGTTGTGACATAACATCTCACATTTGCCATGTATTTCAGAACTTCACAAGTGTGACCATTTCTCATAATTAGTACTTAATATTTAAAAAAAATATGTCTTTTTCTGTAACAGACATCATAGGCCCTATTGTACCGCCGGCACAATAAGGTGCAACAAGTGATTTGTTGCTATTTTCAGACCCGCACAACCCTAATTTTTCACATTTTGCGCCACATTGTTTAAATAGCAAATCCTTTGTGGACTCATGGGTGTTTCGGTCTAAAAATTGCTATTTTGTGGAAATGAAATAGACGGTGCCATTGACCAACTAAAAGCTGAGTTAGTTGTGCACCTTAGATGCGTACACATTGCTTAATACACACAGTATGTACAGCAATAAACAAATTTCTTTACAACTGAAAAAAAAATTAAAGGATTAAAATTTTACAAGAATTATTATTTTCTACAAAAAAAATTATAAAAACCACTGCCTCCATGCCTTGATGTCGGGGGGCTTTTTTGTTTGTTAATTCAAGACAATTTGCATTTGTATAATGTTATTATTAGTAGTAGTAATAGTATTTATTATGTGCAAATCTAAGAACAGGACTTGTGTTTTATATATAACTCAGTTTTTTGACAATACTTCGTTATTATTCGTTCATTTATTTGTTTGCTGGAAATTAGAACTTAATTTAGAAATAGTTTTGAAACAAATCTTAATAAACAACATTAAATATGTAGGCTAGTGGATGTCTACAGTGGAGTGTGTACAACACTCCTTCCATTAAGGGAGTAAAGAGAAAGTAAAGAGGCCGAATGGAAGAGTATCATTCTTTATAATTGCGCTGCAGATGGTCTGTTTAACTGTTTTCTCACTAGTGAAGCGTTCAGTTTTTCTACTTACAAAGTCCGCCATGTAAATAGCAAATGTACTATGTACTATACACAACTGACTCTTAAAGGGAATGTGTGTTGAGACTCTGATTGGTTTAATGCACGTTAAGCTCAAAACACATCCATAACTCATTAAGAGAATAAGCACAACCCTGTTAGACCATGTGCTGGGGCACAGAGCATATTTTTCTGTCCTTATAATAGCAAAATTGGATTCAGACACGCCCTTAATGCTTTTACGCCATGCGCTTTTGACTTTAAACCTAGATCATAAAAATAGAGCCCTTACAGGACAATCTTACAGATGCGATCCTACAAATCTTTTCATTAACGTGACTTTAAATTTTACTTTTACATTTATTTCTCCTAACAAAAACTTTTCTCGCATTTTTTTTGTAAATGTAACTTTATATATTATATTTGTGACATTTTGCATTAATGCAAATATATATTTCACCTTTGCGAGTATTTCTTATACTTGTGACTATTTCTCATAATTGTAACTATATTTCGCAAAGGCATCCTACATTTTCTGTCAACAAAAATAAATTTCTCATATTTACAGCTTTATTTTTTGTAAAAGTGACCACATTTAAAGGGTCACGAAACACCAAAACACATTTTTTGAGCTGTTGACAGTCATATATGTGTCCCACACTGCTAAAAACACTATTAGGACACCTATATTTCACTAAAAAGTGTAAATTGGTTGTTTTTGCGTTATTTCAAGCAAATTCGTACTTCATGTTTGAAACGAATTTTTGAAGCTGCGTCACGGTCATGACATAATAGCGTGTATTCCAGCGTGCAGACTGGACGTCTGTGCCTGAGTGAGTCTTATTACGTCTTACAGTGTGATACATTAATGCATGAGTAAGGCTTGGTTCAAACCAATCAGCGCGCTCTACTGTGCAACTTCATTAATATTCATTTGTGTCACCGTGTTTACACCACAAAGACGCCACGTTGTGTTGGCAAAACAAGCGTGAAGTGTTGCTGTTATAGTTTGCTGCCGTTAAGTTTTGTTTTCATTTTCTCTCTGTGAGAGCTTATCTGGATCACGTCTGGATTAACAGTGTACGCGACGCTCGACAACAATAACTTACGTGTCTAAGGAGGATTATTGTTTACCTGAGAGCTGTTCTCATCTGCAAACGCTGAAATCTGGATTTGCTTGTAGTATTCTCTCCATAAAGACGCGGCTCTAGTTGCTGGTGATTGTCCTGTCTCTACAGATTTGGTAAGTGAGCGACCAGTACTCTTTGTTTATTCAGTTTGTTCGTATCAAATTAAGTTAACTATTGCACTGAGTGCAGAAA